GTGTCCTGCAGGTTTTTTATTGTATCCTGCCACAACACTGAGTCGAATTATTAGCTCATGTCCAGCTAAAGTAAGCTGAGGAGAAAGCTCAGCATTCTGATTTGTGTGTTTAGGAACTAGACACAAGTCCCGGAGGAATGGAGCTCAAAACAGCTGCTGTGTTATCACAACATTTCCTCTCCACTGTCGCTACATGCTTGCTTAGTATGATGATTGCTGTAAAGACTCTGACTCTATAACCCTTTTCAAAAAGATTTCATTTTGAAATTCCACATCAGATTTGGATTAAACTTTGGTTTTATAAACTTGAGGTGTTCTAGTACACAGCTTTCCACACCAGATGCTTTTAAAGTTATTTTTAAACAATCGGTCAGAAATTAAGTATCTGATATGGGCTTTCATTTTGAAAAGCAGTGGGCTGTGCTTTAACCGCAAAGCTGTGAATGCGTGCGCCAAGCAAAATTAAGTGAGGGCTCACTTTACCGTGAATCGGCGAGTGGAGGCTGGCTTTACCCCAGTTTTCAAACTGTGGGGAATATTTTTAAAATGTAGAATCAAACAAACTGAAATAAACCCGTCTACAGCTCGTCCTTCTGCTCACAATCAAAAAGCTGCACACAATTGGCTCATTAAACGTTATCTAGCTAAAACTGGCGACATAAAATATCATCATTGGCTTACTTGTTACGAAGCGGTTAGCTAACGCTTCATAATGCAACAAAATGATGACATTTCATCAACTTACCGGAGAAAATCCTTCCGGAACACTGAAAATGAACTACGGTCAATGCAGCAGCGGGGGCTGTTTGGAACTGTTCGAAGCTACATGAACCACGTGACTTCCGCATTCAATTCTTTCCATAGAAGTCTATTGGAGTGTCGTAACTCTCTCTACAGCTCTGACAGAACCCTGCCCTCCTCTTCCAATGATTGGACAGGAATTCGAGAAACGTGATTGGTAGCTAAGACTCGTGCTCTCATTGGTTCCAACCAAGTTCCTCCCGCTGAGACTAGAATTGAGACAAAATTATTTGTAACACTGTAGATTTGAGGTTTGTACCTGTAGAATGAAATGTGTGTTTTGAGAGTTTTGATTTCAAACATGTACATTGTTTTTTTAATTTATTTTGGAAGTCTGCTGGGTAAAAACTGAAAGTTTCATGTTTCTGAATGAATGTTTGATGTTACAAAATGAGTAGTAAATGTACAAAATAAGTTTGATTTTACAAAATAATAAATACATGTACAAAATGAAACTTTCCTGTTACTAAACAAGAAATACATGTACAAATTGAGAATTACAAGTTAGAAAACTAAAGTTACAAGTTATGAATCCAAAGTTACATGTCATGAAACATGTTCCAAGTTACAAAACTTGGTACAAGTTACATTGAATATTGTCCCAATCCTTGCTCCACAGATGGCTGCTTACACTGAGCCAGGATCCTCTGGAGGTTTCTTCCTGTTAAAAGGGAGTTTTCCTCTCCACTGTTGCTAAATGCTTGCTTAGTATGAGGATTGCTGTAAAGACTGACACTAGTCAATGACTTGATGCAACATGCTGGGTTCCTTATATAGGATTTTTTTTCCTGATTGGCTTAATGAACTGACCTGTATTGGAATGTTTACTGTATGAAGTGCCTTGAGATGACTCTTGTCGTGATTTGGCGTTTTATAAATAAACTGAAATGAATTTTATCATGACCAGATCATCTTAGAATGCATTTCCTGTTCCTTTTGAGCGCAGCAATCTGTACTAAATACCTTCACTAAAACAATTAGGTTATGGGTCAGAAGTATAGCAAAATGTAGTGTACTTGTTTTTTCGGGGCTTTTGACGACACCATTAAAAAACAAAAAACATTACAAATATTTTGTCTGAAAAACCACCAGCGGAACGTATGTGAGAGCCAGGTGTGTTTTATTCTCCTCCAGCAGGTGGCGGTAGTGCACCCATGGTCACCGACCACCAGAAGAAGCAGAAACCAGGCGCTGCTAGCAGAGCTAGCTTGTTGTTGTTCTGGTGTGTGAGGAGAATATTTGAGGCTCTGCAGTAAAAATGTCTTCACTTCAGTCTCTGGGAGAGTTGATCAGCTAAAGCGACTAACTGCTGCTGCTGCAGAAATCTTCTCACCAGGCTGTGGAAACTTTCTTCTCCTCCTCAACAACTTGGAGTTCTTTCCAGAACCAGAGAAGATATTCTGCGGTCTTCGTGACAATCGGAGCTCCAGAATCAGGTTGTGGGTGAGAAAAGCTTTTCTCTAGACTTCCTGCCCTCTGGATCTGCTGCTGTTCCTTTGGCCAGAACCAAAGCGTTGGATCTTTAATCTCCTGCGTTGTTCTGAAGCAGCATCTTAATCAGCTCTCCTGCTTTGTTTCTATTGCAGCTGTTAGCTAAACACGGCTAAAGAAAACCTGCTACCACTTCAGGATCATCCATCAGCTGGGACTGATTCATCGTGTGTTCTTCACCACCTGGACCTGGACAGCATGGACACAGGTACTGGTGGATGAATGAATATATTGTCAGTCTATTGTAACCCTGGCGTCAGATTAAGTTACCACTTATTCAAAATAATAATAATAAATAGGCCAGACTCTAGGTCCAACAGGATTACCTTACAAATTACCAGTGAGTGGGAAATGGAATAGCTGGATCCAAAGAATGAGCAAAAGAACACAGTTGCACCAGATTTGTAATTTTATATAGAAATATGAAAATAGAACAAAAAATACAGCAGCTGCAATAGACATATAATTAAACAATTAGGCCTTTCCCCCTATATCAGTAAACCTAGTCAGGTTGAGCTCAAAGTCAGTCTTCTATTTGGTCGTAGTCTAGTCAAAAAGAAAGTCTCCTCGGTCTTGTAAAACTCAGGTTCAGTGGTCTGAGTGGTTACCACTGGAATGTTGGCTCAGTATAGAAGAATGATGTTCTCCTGATCGGGATTCAGTTCAGTTCGGGCACAGGCTCGCCATCTCCATCCGGAGAGAATCCAGGACTCCAATCCACTTCAGTCCCGTACCGAGCATAAAAACCTAGCCTGCACAACAATAATGCAATTATTGTTTACAGCTAAATAAAATTCTCATCTCTTATTCTCACAGCTATAGCTTTTACAATCGTTTCTTTCTTCATCCTTCAAATATAGTAACAATTTACATGCATGTACATTTCTTTTCTCAAAATACATTTTGGCAATACATGAAACAGTTTTTAACTCACGTAACTAATAGTTTGAATCTTTTTTTTTCCAACAAGGATTATGATTAGCATGTAAACATAGAGTAATACAAAAATTACACAATAACAATATTATAATCAACAAAATTGACATTAAAGACGTATCTGAATCAGCTTCTTAAAGCGAGTAACAAAGTATGATTCCTTTTTCTGTTTGCCTCTCTGTGTTTTTGTTATCAATTTCCTTAGTTTCATTCTCGCTGCTCACAGCTTTGCTCTCACTACCAGATTTGCACTTACACTTTCTGGCTTTCTCCTTTGCAATCTCTGAGTTTTTGGTTGCAATTCTGACACAACCCTTTCGGGTGGGCGGGACTTCTGAGAAGTCCTCTCCCATAGGACAGTGGTTTCTCTTGAGTGACAGTTCAGTGACCTGGAAGTGATGTAGCCTCCAAGACATTTTTTTCCACCTGGTCAAAAACATGAATTTTGAGCCCCAAACAGGTTATTTCTGCTGTCTGTGGTGTCTACTAAGGATCTAAAGTGAGTATTGATAATATATTTTATCTTTTCTTAGTTAAGCCACTTTTTAAGTTGGTTTTAACCAGACGTTAGCTCACTAGCTAGCTGCTAAGCAAGCCATTGTGCTAGCCTCAGGACAATGGTCTATTGTTCCAGAGAGACGTATTAAAAATGCATCTTAACATATTCATTTTATTCCATGTTACTTGGACGGGCTAAACAAGTTCATAGTTCTGCCTGCTCCTTTTTCAGTGAAACGAATGGATTATATGATGTAGCTCTGGCTGAATAATTATCTAAGTGAGTGTGTTTTAAAATAAATTTCTTACCAGTATACAGATCTGACATTTGTTTGTCAGAACAGGACAAGTCAGATTCAATGTGCTTTCTGTCACCCTAAATCAGATCCATATCAGATGTTTTTATTACTTAAGTTTGTATGAACAGTACATTTGATACCACTTTTACATCTCTGAAGTGAAACAGATGTCACATAAGCGCTTGAGGAAGTGGGACACTAAATGTAAACAATGGATAAAACAAAATGATATATTTTGTGAGGTACTGGTTAGAGATAGCTGGGAAGCACTGATCTCGGTAATGCACCACAAGCATTTTTATTTTACAAGCTTGTTTGGCATCGAAATAATTTCAACCCTCTTCTTTTTCTGTCACACTTAATACATACATAAACACACACCAGTTTCTATGTCACAGCTGATGCCTTCATTAAATCTAATAAAATCTATTGTAACTACAGTCTGGTGACTAGTGTCTAGTTTAGCTACATTTAGCTTAGCTGGAGTAATATAGTCTAACTCTGCCTCAACTGGTGACTTTTCTACTTCATTGTCAGCCAGACAAAATGTTGCTGCAGAGAACCGCCCAAGGTACTGACCCCACAATAGAAAATCATAATGTCCACATTTATTTCCCACAATCTCAAACGTCACACTAAAATTAAACTTTTAGCTCTGATTTAATTATTTCCTTATTGATATCAGTTTTCCCTTTGTTGTAGGTAATCCTCGGGTGTCAGCAGGAGGAGGTGACCACCTGCATAACGGAGCACCCTGGTTCTGAGCCAGTTGCTCCTTTGTGCTGCTCTTTGGGGAGACGATGCTCAGCAGGTTAAACAACTGTAAAATTGATTTTGTTCGTAGTTTTTGTTTAGATCTCATACATCACCAGTTTTTCTTTCTTGCAGACACATGCCTCCATGTGGTCTGGTGGTGTTGGTGTGATCTGGGAGGGCACACTCATGTCGTCATCTCCTTGTGCCGTCTCCAGGATCCTGATGGGCGTTCTCTGTGCCTATAAAGCAGGGGTATTTACTTCTGGGCCTGGAGGGCCGGTATCCAGCACGTTTTAGTTTCAACTCTGTTTCAACACACCTGATTTCAGTCCGCAGGTATATAACAGGCTTCTGCAGAGCTGCTGCACAGGTAATTCAACCACTGATTCAAGTGTGTTGGAGCAGGGAAACAACTAAAACATGCTGGATACCAGCCATCCAGGACTAGAATTGAATACCCCTGCTATAAAACCTTCCTCCCTCCTCCGGACTTTAAACATTAGTATTTTATTATGGTTTACCTGCTTTAGTAAATAAATCTCAATTTATACATTTCCTGTTTTGGTGCCTGTCCATAAAATCCTGCATTAGACACTGAAAGCTGAATGGATGCCGTTCATTCACTTTGACATTCAATGTATTTTTAAAGAAACACTTGAAATTAATATCAGCTGTTTAACAGAGTGGTGCAAAGTAATTGCTGATGTCATGATTTTTGCAATAACCTGACCTTCATGCAGAGAAACTCAGGAGACAAATGAGCTAAAAACAGTTTATTAAAATGTTTGACGGATGACTGAAGAGGTAACAGCTGGAGATCAGGAACCAGACGCTTCTGCGAGGAAGAGCAGAGGTTAGTAAGAGGCAACAGGTCAGGTTTTTCTTAGACTGTGCAGGTAGCTTACAGAGACTGAGGAACGCCACAGAGATGGAGCCACAGGTTTTAGTGTTTAAAGATCAGAAGGCCCTGAGGTAAAATTGAGTGTTAGTAATGACTAAAGAATGACTTACAAAAGGAAAAGTTTAGGTACTTACGGTCTGAAGTTGTAGCGCAGACGGGAGACAGCAGAATGGTGGAGAAACAACCAGAAGTCTGGGAGAATGACAGCATGAGTTGCAAGCGGGTGAGCAGAAGGTAGTGGGTAAGCCGACTGCCAGTATGGTTGTGTGATCAGGAGCTTCAAGGAAAGAATTCCCATAGATCTGCATAGAACATGAGAATGTAAGTTTGAAAAACGGCAGAGTCATGGGCTAGATATGGGTTAAAGCACTCTGAGTGACCAGCTACCAGCTTTTATTCAAGGATGGGGTTACAGGTGTGTGAGGATGGGCCTGCCCCATGAGAAGAATTTTCAGGTAAGCCTCTCCATGGTGCTCTGCAATGGTGACTAGCAAGGCTAAGGAAGAGATTAAAGGGAACACAAACCCAGGACTCCGACCCAAACTCCTAACAGCAACACAACAACTCCTCCCACAGGCGGTTGTTCCACGGAAGTACACGCAGCTGCCCGAAGTTCAGCATCAGGCAACCTGTAGGCGATGTAATCATACGTGGCTTCTGAGCATGCAAGTTTACTCTAGCTGTACAGCGTACAATAATTAACATTTATATTCTGTTGCGTTGTTCACCTTACAGGTTCTTTTAAAATCTTAACCTGTGCCTGCTTACAGCAGGTCTTTCAGGTCTTTTGAACTAGACACAGAGAGGTTCAGGTACAGGTACTTAGTCAGACTCCTGATATGATAGAGCATCCACCACCACAGACTCGAACAATAGGTCTATATGCTTGTCAAATGGACATATTAAGAGGACACTTATTTACTCCGTGGTAAACAACTTCAAAATGTTTGACTCTTTGCACCACAAAATGAATGATTTTGGAAGCGATTTAGATTTTGATGGTAATTTTAATAAAGAGCCATGAAATGATTGTAAATACTATAGTGATGAGGAGTTTAAAGATATAAATATGGTGGGAGCCTTCTCTGTCATTCATTTCAATGGTAGAAGTTTGCATAAAAACTATAAGGTTAAAGAGTATCTGAGTCACTTACCAAATTTTTCTGTTATTGCTGTCTCAGAGACGTGGTTGGACAATGAAAAGGGTTCCTATGTGGAAATGGAGGGATATGAATTATTTACTTTAAATAGGAACAAGAAAAAGGGCGGTGGGGTTGCACTGTATGTGGATATAAACCTGAGGTGTAAGTCATCCGACAAAAAGACAAATATTATTGATGGGGTTATGGAGTGTATCAGTGTTGAAATTGCTATTGAAGGAACTAAACCCATCATTGTTAGTTGTTTGTATAGAACACCTGGATTCTGTCTAAATACTTTTAATCAGGAAGTCGGTAGCTTGTTTGTAAATTTAAACAAGGTTCATATTGTATGTGGTGACTAACATTGACCTTCTTAACCCTCATGATAACTTACAAATATCTAATTGTATTACAACAATGTACGGTAATAACCTTCTCCCACTTATCCTTAAACCTACTCGAATTACAACTACAACTGCCACTTTGATCGACAATGTATTCACTAATGAGATTTCCAGACAAATTACAGCGGGATTACTAGTTAATGATGTAAGTGACCATCTACCGGTATTTAGTGTTTTTCATCAAATAGTACATTATGCTCAAAATCCTGAAACGATTACACAGAAATTGGTTCAACATAGAACACCCGAAGCCTTGGCTGCATACAAGGCAG